CCCAGTAAAGCTTTGCTACAAGAGCAGCTCTTGTCAAATCTTTGCAGTTGCCCCTGTCTTTTTGTTTCCTTGCCTTTGTCACTGTTCATTTTCCAAAGAGGTTTTTAGTGTAATGCTTTTATTTGAGAAATATATTTGAATTTTTCTGGTACGCATCTTCTAAGGATAATGCAATCTTCTCATGCCCTCCTAGTCTGAAAGAACTGAAGAGGTGAGGGAAGTTAAATTACTAGCTTCTGCAGCTATTTCACCTGTTAATATAACTGTCCTTAAAAAATACGTGGACACAGAGCAGTCATTATTTGAGGGCAATACAGTGTACTTACCATGCTGTCTAGTTACTCCATGGAAAACCAGGGATTGGTACTGACAGTAAGAATCAGGGTATTTCTGAAGATCTAAAATAGCCTGGGTTCCTATTCTTTTCTATAAAATAGTTCACAGCATAACTTCAGCTGGAGAAGACTTCTGGAAAGTCACCATGTCCAAGCCCCTTTTCATTGTGAGACCAAACTTCTACATCAACTTGTGCTGTTTAGGATCAAATCCAGTTGAGTTTTGAACACTGCCTTCCAAGGGTGGAGGTTCACCAATATCTGCAGGGAACATCTTTTGGCAGTTTATGAATAGATGTGCAGCATATAATACAAGTTTCTTATGAAAATTTGATTGCTGGTTCAGATGTGCAGTTTCCTAATTTACATGCCTAAGAAGCTGTTAAGTGTCATTCTGTTGACTCTGATCATCCGGTTCTTTTGAAGCCTCATTTCCTACATGGCAGGGGAGGGAAGAGGAGAAAGGGTCCCCTTCTTTCCTCCGCTTGGTCTTTGGGTGACCTGATAATGAAGAAATGAGGATTTGTTATGCAGGCCTGCACTTTGTGTGCTTGCTCTCTCTAAATTACTGCTGGGTGTGAAATATTGATTTTGTTTGCTATTTACCCTGTGGGTATTTTCTGTGCTATTGCTAATCTTGATATTTTTAACTTTCCAATTAACTTCTGGTTTTCAATTTTAAAACTATGTGAGAACCTACAATTATAAACCTAATCTTATGTAACACAGACTAGTAAATTTGCTCAGGAGGCTGTGAAATTGAATCTGTACTGTTTTTATACTAACCAAGAGCAAACTAATGAATTGCCACAGCTTTAAGTATCTGTGCTTCTTTTCAAAATCATTTTCACGTTTCATCTCTGCTATATCAGCCTCACGCTGTACTTGGGTTTATGGCTTTCTCTTTACATTGATGGATATTTTAACTTTGTAATAGAACTTTTTAGGTCACAGTTTTCACTCTGACGTGGATGCCTTACTTGGTTGTAACACTGAATGTTGTAAGCAGCTTTTCCCTTAGTGCTAAGAGGCTGAAATTTAAGAATGGCATTTTACCTTAAAGCCAACACTAAAAATATCAGGTTGTTGCATATTAGTAGTCGCAGACTGATAACTGAAATAAAAATCAGCATGGCATTGGCTGCTACCTGTATAGAGAATTCCATTTTCTGCAAGGAAATTGAATACTAATTTCACTGAGTTTCAGATCTAGTTTCAGTGTAATTTAAACTTGACTAGTTTGAGGGAGTGTCAAAAGTTTCTTGGTTGAGAGGACTCTCCCTTCTGCCTTTTAGTTTATTTTTGATAACTTGCTACACTGAGTGGGTTTTTTTGTCTTTTCTTAATTTCATGGCTTTGGCAAGATTACTTTATTTTCTTTTCTTCTCCTCCCTCCTCCTTCTTTCAAAACGCTATTCCTAAGTTTGCCCAGTGTGGACTGTCAAATAGAGGGTAAAGTATCTTGGTTTTTTTATGCTGGTTTCCAAGCTAATCTGGATGATGGATTTTCTCACGTAGAACTGCTGTCATGATCTAGATGTTAATCTGTAGCAGAGTTTAAGGTTTGGCAAATGAATAAAGAATAATATCTCCTACAATCAGCAGATGGCTTTGAGTTTTAGGGTGTGCATGACACTGTGCACACAGCTTGACAGATGTATGAGCAAGTAATTCCTCTGTTCCATGCAAGTGTTCACACCTCTAAAGAGCCATCAATAAAGCTTTTAATATGTTGAGTCATTATCATACAAAAATAAAAAACTGTCTATTGACAGAGCAAATAATGTCAAAGAAAATGTTGCGCTAATACAGTTTTACAAATACACGTAGCCCATCATGCCCCATGGGAAGTGGCTTTTCCCCCGCTGGCTGATCTTTTCACACTCAGACTCTTGGAGATTCTCAGCAGTCAAAAGAGCACAGTTGGTGGTTTCAGAAAAGTTTGAAGTGAAGATGTCGTATTTTAAATCATGGGGGAAAGTATTGGCTGGGAAGAAGGTCTTGTCACTGCTGTGATGTTCTCAGGATTGTTTCTGTTATAACTGATGCTTGTTCTTTATCCTTCATGGGGTTTTTCCTCCTGTATATCTAACTTGCATGGTACCATTTTTTTAAGCTGGGAATGCTTCAATATTTGTTTTGCAATTGCATTTCATTAAGGGTATTATACAAATAAACATTAGATGTGTTTACATAGCATATGTGCTATGAAGTCAGAAATAATCAGTTTAAGAATCCTGTCCTCTCCTTTAATTAAAGATGTGGTAACCCAGTGGGAGTTGGTTCAGGTCTCTAAAAACAAGGTTTATCAGTTTAAAAGTTGGGATTATGCTACATGCAGAAGTGTGCTTTGAGTCTTCTGTTTCTAAGGGAAACAAACAGGCAAGCAAGGAAATATAAAAGAAACAATTCTTACGGCACTCATACTTTGCCCTTGTTAGAATATATGCAAAAAAATAGAAGAAACCAAATACAGAGATAAGGATGCAAATCATTATAATTGTAAAGGAACTAGGTCAACCAGGAATAATAATTTTGAATTCCTCAGCTCAAAGGTCCGTATTTAGCTAAGGAGATGTGAGTTGGATAATACTGTCTGAAATGTGAAAAGTGTAGTCATTCAATTTGGTATGGTTTTGTCTTTCTCAAATGAAATGTAAGGATATGGAATCACATGGCAGTCTTCAGCAAAAACTTGAGTTCTCCTTCAAATTTTCCAGAGAAACTTGAGTGTCATTTGAGGGGGTTTGTTCAATCATAAGTAAGGAAAAATGCCTCTGGTGTGTGATGGTGGCACCCCCACTGGAAATGTCTGGCCATATACTGTTAGTGATTTAGCTGCAAGTGGAAGACAAATGTGTTCAGCTGTGTGCCTGTGTTTGCACAGGGCAGGATGAGGCAAGGCAGCATTTTATTGGTCAGTTGGCAGCAAAATGGTATTTTTGTTATATTTTATCCTCCTCTGAAATTCTAACTACATACTTGATTTTTTTTTTTTTCCACCTAGGGTGTGGATTCAGGATTTGTTCCCAGTGTTCATGATTTCGACAAGAAACTTACTGAGGCTGATGCTTACTTACAGATCTTGATAGACCAATTGAAGGTATGGTAACTAACTGGTGTGTTTACTGTGCTGGGAATCTGCTTGGCAGCATGGATTTCAAGGTCTGGTTGAAAGGAAGTTCAACAGAGGGAGAGAGTCATGTTTGTGCTTGACATGTGGTCTAGTAAATGTGGGATGCAGAGAGAGCTCATCTGGCTGAGCTGACTGTGAGCTGGGGAAAACCTTTTTTATATATCAAGTCTGATGATGGTAGAATTTTATGTTCTTTCTCCCTAGCTGAGGATGTTCCATAGCTTCTAACTACTTCTGAAATAAAGCTTTAAGTAGTGCAGAAGTAGAAAAGGAGTATAAAAAAATAAAAGTTATAAGCTGAGGGGTGAAATAAGGTGAAAATGGTTTTCTCTTAGAATGGATCTTGGGGTTGCTAAAATAGAATCAGAAAATCAGGGTAACTCAGATTTTATAGAACAGTTTCCAATGGCTGAAACACTTTGTGTATATATAGAGCTTCATGGAAATGACAGAGATTACCCAAGTTTACTTTTAAAATGTAATTAAGTCATTGTCTTGCTCATAGCACTTAAAAATTTATCTCGAGGAAATTTTGTCAAGTGATATATAACTACAGTTGCAGGTACTTTCAGACTTTGTTGCAGTAGTGTTGGACAATATGTTCTTTGTCCTTGAGTGAAAACTTACAGTAAAAAATTTTGTACAAATACAATTCTTTTACGCTTTGTATATGTATTTTAAGAGTTAATGGGAAGGTGAGGAGCAATGAGGTCATACCTCTCAGTACTCACCTTATGGAGAAAAACAGTTTTTGCTGCTGGTTAGGACACTTTTTCTCATGACTCATCAGGTTAAACTTGCTGTTAAGATGACTTCAGTTCTGCTGGTTAGGATTTTTTATTTTTCCTGATACAATGGGTAAGTTGTGCATGTGGGATATTCAGCAAAAATTCAGCTGCAGGGGAGGGCGGAGAGGGGAAAGAGAATACCAACAAAAATGAAGGGTAAGTAAAAGATGCAAACAAAATCCAGTGCTAAACTGCAACGACTTGATCAGGAGTTAGCTTTGGCTCCTGCTCTGGAGCCATCTAGCAGGCATCACTGAAGGAGGAAGGTATTTCCATCTTTGCACCTTCCAGTTGTTATCTCAGGCCAGCTAGAGGAAGGGGGGGGGGGTATGGGAATTAGTAGATAATGAAAGAAGAGTGAATTTGACCATGGACAGAGACAAAGACTACAGTCACTTATTTCAGAACCAGAAATCAGCCCTCAAGGGAAAAGGGTTCATGTGTAGATTTTGGGCAGGCAGTGGAGTGAAGAACTGGAGCTCACCTACTAAAGATTACAGCCTTTTTTCTGCACCAGGCTGGATGTGATGAGCTTCTGAGCATTACCTTTAATCTTTTTCTTCCTTGAAAAACACATACTTACTGGTTATTTGTATGTGCATTGTAGAGTGCTTCTGTGGAAAGTTTTTAACTGTTTCACCTGGTGTTAAATACACATGCAATCTTTTCAGTCAGAAATTGTTCCACTTTCCTTAGCTGCATCTCATATTCCACTTTTAAGGAAGCAAATAGAAGTTAATGCTGGAATATCACTTATGTATCTTTGCAAAAGCTGTGCTTACAAATTTTACAAATTTTTGAATCGTGTAGCTGAGTAACAAGGCTGCTGGAAGTGTTGAGGCTGTTTTGACAAGCATTCTGTATGCTACAAAAGTCTTTGCTGAATTAAAAAAATAGGCAGTTTGAGGTGTTCTGATGTCACTTATTACTTAACCTCACCTTTTTGTTCAAACCATGGCAGAACTAGACAGCATCTGAGATTTGGTCTCTTGCAGGATGGGATAATGTGAGAAATTAATTGCAAATTTGTTATATGACAAATGCTGTAAAGATGTTACGTAAAAGCTGCTTTAGGACATAATACTAAGGTCATATAACGTAAGTACTTACTAAATGCTTTTGGATTTTAAATGTCAGTATTTGATATTATATGAAAAAATAACACTTGCAGTATTTTTACAAATATCTTTTTCTTTTAGCTCTTTGATGAAAAACTCCAGAACTGCAAAGATGATGAACAGAGAAAAGCAAGTACATTTTGTCTTACATACTGCTCATTTTGCTTAATTAGGTGATTTAGTGCGTCAGTTTGCTTTAGTCTGTAGAAATTTAAAGTACAGTTCAAATTTGTCAAACTGTCAAAACCACTGAAATCAATTTGAATAACTGATAACTTTATTTGAGTTGTGAATAGATTGGAAACAGAATTTTTGGTAGTACTGGGTGTCATAACATTACGAAAGTTTTCAGTCTGGATGAAAATGATTACTCCTGTTATCCAGCTGTCTGAAGCATTTTTAACTTAAATTTGCTATTTTTTAATCTTTAAGAAGAATAAGTATCTAATGTTTGTAGGAATAGCAAAGCTATTCTGAAGGAAAAAAAGACAAAAACGCTAAGAAACATGTATTTCACCTAATCAATCTGCATCCTGTGTAGCTTTCTGACTAGCATGCCACATCTTAGAAGTCTGAGAATAACATGCATTCACCATAGATGAAGATGCCAAAAATGTAACTTTCTATGTGGGAGGCAATGCTTTTTTAGCAAGGCTGTAATTCACTGAAGTGTTGTTTATTTTTTGCATCCTCTCCTATTTCCAAGTCAGGTTTGTAGGTTAGAGTTTAATCACTGTGGTTAAGAAATGCTAGCACTCACTTCTGGTGGTGTGGGTTTAGGCATTGAGTAGCCTGCTGGGTTTGGATGTGAATTTGTGTGGTGTGGAGGAGAAATTTAACACTTCCTTATGAAGGATTTATTAGTAAGGAGTTGCTTTTGTTTTCAGCAAATGCAGTAATTTCAATGTCATAGTGGTGTATTTCATCCTCCTTCCCTCCTTCTCCCTCAGTTTCAACGGTAAAAAACAAACTGATGTTCTCTTGGTGTTTGGTTGCAGTTTTGCAAAAAGTTTGATGCTTTCCGTGATTAGTTCACTTCTTCATTATGAATGTGACCTTTCACATGTTATCCATCTTGTTTGATGTGTTGTGTGGCATCTTAGAGACTTCACCAGTGATGGTCTTTCTGGATTTCTTTTGCATGCACAGGCTTCTAAAATAACTTTGAAATACAAGTGTTCTCTGCATAAGCATGTTTCATCTGTAGACAACTGACCAAAGGAGTAAGATCTAAGGATTTTGCATTTCTCCTTTGGGGTGTCTTACTGGGTAGAGAATTCTCCTTCAGTTTTGACCTCCCTCCAGATGCTACTTTGCAGATCAGGCAGTACTGCTTGTTTTTCCCCGTGACAACGCTTCTAATCCCTGGAGACTTTCCACATGTTGTGCTGATTTCTTTCTTCATCTCTGCAAGGTATCTATGGAACACACAGATTGGCTTTACAGAGAAAGCAGGAGGTCTGTTTAGAAGAGGTCAGCATCCACTGCTTTGAAATCTTGATGAGCATTGCTATTCCTATAGATTCCATTTATTCTCTATTAAAAATGAAAAAGACTTGCCAAAGTACTTTTTCATCATGTCTCTTCCTGTACTAAAGCAGCTAAGAGTTTTTTTTTTTATACTGTATTTAGCAGTTTTCCTATTTGCTTATGGAAGCATGGTTCAGCTGTCAGATTACGAGCTAGGGTTCAGGTTAATTTCACCCAGGCCATAGTTTTTTTTTTTTTTCATCTGAGGAAACAAGACTTGGTTATTTGAGTGTTATGTGCTTCCCAACTAGTTGGGTGCTCTTTTATTCAACTGTTTATGGCCCCACATGTCAAACCTGATCTTTTGTTTTTGCAAGTGTACAGGGTATTGGATGGACTGGGTTTTAGGTAACTAGAATATTTGGTCTTGTGAAGATAACAGTATAGGACATAGGTGTTCCAAGATGCTTTGATATCTCTTGGGTATCTTCTTGCTGAGACATGATAGTCTGTTGAACTGGGAAGATGGCAGTGCAGATGTAGACGATGAATTTTGAAGACTGAGAAATACTGTGATTTTCACAAATTGCCTATGTTACATCAGTACTCCTGGCAGAACTACAACTAGCACTGTGTGGTGGGATCATACTGTCTTGCAAACATACTAGAATGAGCAGAGCTGCCAGTTTTGCTGAATCTGCTGATGGAGCACAATACATGTGTCTGATTGCGTAGGTATGTGACCTGAGGGTACTGCTGTTTCAAGGTGAATGCAAGATGGAACCTTGCTTTCTTATGGTGTTGGTAGCATTATTGGTGAGAACTCAGAACTTCTCTGTTGTTTTATGAAACTATCTTGATAACACGTATCTAGAAGAATAAATCTCTAAGTGTTCAACAGCATCAGAATAGTGGAGAGGTATGTGTTTGTCGGGCAGGAGCAAAGCTGCCACGACTTAAGATTTTGCAGAGGGTAGCCTGCTTTAAGCTATTTGGTTCACAAGAAGTACTTTTTGTGAAGTAAATCCAAGGCTGAGCACATGGATTTGGGTTGCACTTCACTAATTCTGACCACAGGTCGGCTTCCCCTCTGCCTCTGCTGCCTCTTTTTGCTGCATGAGCTGATCCCTCTGTAGTCACATGATTGTTCAATGAGGAAAAAAAAAAAAAAATCAGTGAAATAAGATTAGCTTTCTGTTGGATCACCAGTAGCTTCATAAAAAATCAGATGTTAAGGAGGTGCAGCAAGTGAATGGAGTAGTTTCAGCAGCAGCCTGCAGTTTTATTATGTTAGATATAGCAGTGTGGCTGCACTCTGCAAATGTAAGTCTGCAGGTAATTGATGTTTCATTTGAAAATGCATATTCATTACCTAAAACTAGGGAATCTGTCTTATTAAAATTTATATCATAATTGGTGTTCAGAGAGTAGGGATGTTGAAGAGAGATAGCTTTTGGTAGTAAATTTACTCTTTGATTTTATTCTTATTGGTAATGTTTTTTTTATATCCAAATACCTCTTTTTACCTGATTATTATTTTGCTTACAAGTTTGTATTTCCTCGTTCTCTATATTGTTTACTTTAATGCAAGTTTAAATAAAAGATAAGAATAAAGTTACAGGGATTGTAGCAGTGTAGTCCTGTACAATTTATGAGATACAAGCCTCCTCCTAACTTCTTCTCCAAACCAACCACTCCTGTAAGCATGCCAGTTCTGTAGTGATCATTGACTTGTTTTTTCTCTCCCCAGTGTCATGTGTATAGTGTGTTTGTATAGGATCTTACAGAGGGAGAGTTCACAAACTTTATTTTATGCCTACTCTAGATCACCATTCTAGAATAACACATTGCTCATCAAAATCCAGAGAATTCCATATCAACATCTTCTTAGCCCTAAAGAACGAGGCCAGTGCTCTTTAGAAGGGTCTTCCCAGGGACTGAGTCTGGCTGACTTGCCCCTGTTGTTCTCATAATCTTGTGTGCATAGGAAGAAGACAATATTCCAGTTCTGTGTGCTGTGTTCGTGCAAGGTGACCACACAACACGAAGGTGAAAAATACTGGATTAATGCATGCTCTTACTGCTTAAGTTGTACAGCTCACAAAGAATTCAGTTTCATAGAGGAGAAAGTTCTGATTGTATAATTTGTGGATAGGCCTTGGAAACCAGGTGTCCTGAGGTTTGTCTTGTCTCAGAGTTTTTGTGATCTTGGACAAATTACTCTTTCGTTTGTACCTGTGCGTAAGAATAGCGGTGCCTTAGTCTCTTGGGGGTAGGGGGAAAAGAGTGTGACTGAATTGTGTTCTGTGGCCTGACATCACTTTCAGGTTTTCAGCAAAGACAGTATCAGTGAAGGGAATGAGATAACAGTTTATTTGGTGTGTAAATACTTCTTCTTTGGGGAAGAAATAAGTAAAGAATAATCAAAACTACTGAGGACTCTGTACAACTGCCAACGTATCTTTGAGATGGATTTCCTTCAGTCACATAATCTTTCATCTGACAAGATCAGTATGTTTGGGTATATTGCCTATTTGATTTTGGTGCTAAAATGCTCAGAACTTTGCTGCTGTGATGTTAATTTTTTTTTTTTTTTCAGTATGTGTTGCTAAAGTTTGGACTGAAAGTATAGTAGATACATGAAAAGCAAAAACAAAGGAATTCTTAGCTGTTGGCTTGTTTCTCTGGTATCAACAGAACTTAATACGATGTAATTTTGTGTTAGAACAACCCTGATTTCTTAGATCAGCATGCTTAAGTCTTCTCAGTGGAAGAGGCTGAGTGCTGTTTGGCCTCCTTTTGCTAGGTAATGATGGAGAAAATGCATAGCATCTGTATGGAACAGAGTGTAACTGAAAAAAAAAAAATCAGCTATTGGTTAGGAAGTTGTCACTGCATTTGTTTTGTTTTTAATCCACAAGCTGAGACTATTCATTCCTGTAGATATACACATCTTACAGTGTAAAATTTGGCTTGCAGTGCTGGGGGGGGGGAAATTCCTTACACACTTGGATTATTTGACAATAAAAAGGCTGTGACTCTAGTCACATGAGACACTCATATTAATCAAAATGAAGAGGTCCTTTTATTGAATTAGATGTTCAGTGCTGAGTGCAATTTAATAATGTTCCCTCTGCAGACAGACACAAGGACATCAACAGGATGCATATGCTTCTTAGATAGGTCATGCTTATGCGTGAAATGGCAGGCAGGTGCCTTTTGCATGCCTAAAGTACAGTTCGTACAGGAAATCTTCATGAACCAGTGTTTCCATATAAAATTAAGTAGGGAGATTTTTGGATGCACTTTCACTGGAGGCTTAGAAAGATCAAGAAAATGTGTGCACTGTTATATTCTGTGATTTTTTTTAAAACCATGATAAACTGTGTATGCTTATTATACGTGGGTGATGGTAATTTCAAGTAATATTGATCACTGAAAAGTGCATTCAGTATACTGTATAAGGGTGCAGATTAAACTTAGAGTGGATCTTCATACTGCATTTCATTTTTGTTGATGTGATGCAAAACTGAGGTGTAGACTTTGATGGGTAAATCCATATAATGTCACATCTCAGAAACTCCTCGCCTTGTCGTCTTTGATCTTTAATTATCGTTTTGCCTTCTGTCTTGTCAATTACAAAATGAAAATTGTGTTCACATACAGAAATAATCTTTAACATGTTGGTTGCCATTTTTCCTCCCTCAATTTAAGATTAAAATGTAGTGTTTGTGCAGTATTTACTATTAGATGCTGGGAATTCTGTCTTTAACCACACTATTTTGATTTTTCTTTTACAGAAAATTGAAGGTCTCAAAGAAACAACCAGTGTAAGTGTCTTTAATTTTTATATCTATTATATAATGATTCTGAAATTCACCATACTTTCTCAGGGAACTTTTTTAAAGCTTTTTACAGAAAAGTGGGAATCTGTATTAGGTCCAACATGGTAGAGGCAGCCAGGTCCTGTATTCAGATTTATGTCTAGCACCTTAGAATCATAAGATCGTAGAACAATTGAGATTGGAAGGGACCTCGTAATGTCTGCAGTCCAACCCCATGCTCAGACAGCTAGAGCAGGTTGCCCAGGAGCAGATCTAGTTGGGTTTTGCGTAAATCCAAGGATGGAGGATCTACAACCCGTTTAGGCAACCTGTTCTAGTGTTCGATTATCCCTAGAGTAAAGAAGTGTTTGCTTAGTGTAAGGTGAATTTCCTGTATTTCAATTTGTGGCCACTGCCTGTTGTCCTGTCACTGGGCACCACTGGGAAGTCTAGCCCCGTCTGCTTTACCCTCTGCCATCCCAGTCAGGTACTGATGCTCATCACTAAGGTCTCCCCGGAGCCTTTTCTTCTCCAAACAAGCTCAGCTCTCTCAGCCTCTCTTCACATGGTCCTTTACATGATGCAACGCTCTGAAAGTTTGAAGGTGACCTCCATTTCCCCTTAACAGCCTGTGTTGTATGTCAGTTTTGGAAACTTTGGGTTTCTACTGCTATGCTTTTATCTCTGGAAATAAAAAAAGGGGGTGGAGGAAGGAAAAGTAGGAGTTCTACTGAAGTGAGTGTCCCATTTATTTCTCACCCAATATTTCAGTTCTGTAAAACTAATTAAAATACCTGTAAATACAAAGTACTATGGGATAGTAATACAAGATTTTTGTTTTGTTACTTTTGTCTTCCTAGAGCATGGTAGAATCAATAAAACACTGCATTGTGTTGCTACAGATCGCTAAAGTAAGTACACTGTAAACTATTTTGATTTTTAATTATACAGCATTAATCTGTGTGAAAACAGCTGAAATATAAAAGTGCCTTCTATATGATCCAGAATGTGTGTGTGTATATATATATATATATATATATATATATGTATTAAAAAATTCATGTAAGCTGATTTATGCTGCTGTTTTAATGAAGTTTCTGAAATACTGAGTTCCACAGCAGACAGTCCTGTTAATGTTTGTGACAAGAGTCACACTGAGGACGTTGCTTTTCTCTTGAGATAAACTGTCCTTTGCAGAGTTTTCAATTAGCTATATAAGGGTGGCAGAATAGAAACGTCACAAAACTCTTCTGTATGCTTCATTTAAGCATGTGACTAACAAATAGAAAAAGGGAAAATTGTGATGTTAATAATCTAAACTGGTTTGGCAAGGTTTGTCACAAGTCTGAAGTTCACAATGGTGTGGCAATTCTTGAAGTAAGAATTGTATTATTTGAGAATGCAATATGCATAATGCACTTAAACTTCACTTTGTTGTATTTTTTAAAATTTAGTGAGATGTGGGTTTACTATTCTTTTTGGTCAGTACTCTATCTAGGAGATGTTAATTATGAGCTGCTGGTTTCTACCTTGTAATTGAAGTGAAGAAAGAGGATGTTTCCCAAAGAAAATAATGTATGGTTTTCCATGATTTAATACTGAATTTAATCAGAACACATTCTGATTTTTTTTTTTTTCAGAGATAGGTGTAGATTCTTCAAATTTATTTTTTTCTGTACTCTATATCAACTTTTTTTTGTGTGCCTTTCAAATACAATACTACTGTTGAGCTTCATTCTAGATGCTGATACATTGTATAAAATTTTGAGGCCAATGAAAGTGCAAGCATTTGGAACCTGCCAGGATCAGAAGTCATTCACTAAAATAGGGCTTAGTGCATATTTTGTGAAATTCACATTTTGTTTCAGTAGCTTAAAACTTCTGAAGAAAGTTTGTTAGTTAACGGGTTTATACTAAACCAAAAATATTTTACAAGTAGTACAGTGCATTGCAATAGTTTTGTGCCACATGAATCTAAAGCTAGAACAATTTGTTTAACGTACAGTGATACTATTTGAATTCTTCACTGTAGTAACAGCAAGAAAAGCCTCGTTAGTAAGTAATAATTTGCTGTGATTTAGTACTGGGTATGTTTAGAATGGTTTTAGTGCAGTGAAACCAGTAGGCTGTATGCCACTTTGGGGGATGTGGTGGAGTCAATTAGAGATACCGCAGATGACAGTACAGTGGTTTTCTTGCACAGCTGCATGTGCCTCTCTGGATTGTAGAAACTGTGTGCAACCAATGACTTGCTCGTTTAAATGTTATATAAATGTATTTAGTGGTTGTTATTTTCAGAGAGGTTTAATTCCTATGAAATTTTGCTCTTTTTTTAAAAAAAAGCTCTGCTATGCAATTAGCAAATCTGAAAGAGCAAGACTGTAGTCTGCTTTTCAGGTTCTTGATCAAAGCTGGTAGTAGGTGTCTGACTTAGCTCTCTTGACAAGTTTCTTTCAAATTCCATTTCTGCTATGTGTAGTTTTATTGGGGGAGAGACAAATATCATTGCTTGTCTTGCGCTGAGGCTAAGCATATTTTGAAGTCGGTTAGGTGGGTTGCTGATAATGGCCAAAACTGAACTTACAGTGACAGTTGCAGTCATTTTTGATCAGGTTCAGTGCTCTCCTGTGCCAGCTACCATATAAGCATGTGAGTAGATCGAATTTGGGCCCCCCAAAGATGCTAAGACTTGCTTTCTGTTATATTAAATGAAACCTTGAAGTCCTCTGTTCAGTACCAGTAATTATTAACCAGTGTTAATAGATGGGTTTATCCGTTGGAGAGTGGGGGTTTTTGCTGATTGGTTTGTTTGGTTGGTTGGTTGGTTGGTTTTTTTTATTTTGCTAAACCATATCTAAACCTCTTGTATAGCTATTGAAGTTACAGTGGTTTAAGTGAGTGGTTTGTGCACATCTAATTGGGAGAAGCTGAACCACATAGAGTGAAAAATACCCTCTATAAATTTTCCTGCATCTTAATAACCTTTTTTCTACTTCATCTCTTCATCTTCTTCCTCTGCCTCTATATTAGGCAACTATATATAAACTGTTTGTATCCTGACTGTGGGATTGTAGGAAATGAAGAATACAGAGGGTTGTTGTTGTTTTTTTTTTTTTTTTTTTTTTACAGTTCTGTAAGTTGCATATTAAGTGTTATATATGTAAAAATATGTGCCTGACTGGCAGCTTTTTGTTCTCCAGTACCTTTGAAAATTCTGCAGCATTTTTTACCCAAAGCTGTAAGGCAGATATGGCTGCTGACTTACACTGCTGAAAATAAAACATATTAACACTACCCCAGCTCCCTATTTTTACTTCTCCAATGTCTTTCTCACTAGGAGACAGACTTCTGGTTATTTGCAGTACCTTAAAAACTTCATTGCTTCTCTGTGTCCTCAGAATGATCTCTGTTTCAAACAGAGAAACATTTATTGTATGGACAATTTTGGTACATTGAGGCAAGCCTGCTTTTTAGTGTTTTTGTGCATGTGTTTTTGTTTGTTTGGGTGTTTTTGTGTGCATTTTTTTTTTTGGGGGGGGTGTTGCTTGTTTGGGGCTTTTTTATAGTTGTTTGTTAAGGTGAGCTGTTTCATCAGCTCTTAAAATAACCTGTGTTAGGACTTGGACAGTTAAACTTTCACTAAACTTACTGGTAAGTACAAGTTTGTAATCATGCTACTTGGACTGGGGGTGACCCAAGGCTTTATCAAACTATGAAGTAAATTCCAGCTAAATAGGAATATATTATAATATATACATCACTTATCAAAAAGTAATCAAAATAAACCTAGTGGGATGGGTATGTGGAGCACTTGGCTTGTGTTGTCCTCTTTGCCTGTATGGCAGTTGAAGATGTCCAGCTTGGCTGATGTGTGTGTGGTAAAATATGTAACAGTCTGTCAGTGATTTGGTAAACTACAGTCTTAGAAATACGTATTATATATTTTATGAAATAGCTTTTATAATTCAGATATTTAGTTTTGCATCCTTTGCCTTACTCTTTTCACTTCATCATTTCTGGTCAGTCTTGCTTGCTGAGTTTTGTGGCACTTGCACCTTACTTACCCCATCAACACGCCACGTTGCTGAGATAGGAGAGCAACCTTCGGTACAAATGCAGCATCTTCCTGGTTTATTTCTTCGGTCTTAGAAATTTCGTATGTAGAAAAAGAATATATTCGAGCTCCAGGGTTATTCTGTCATGTTTATACGTTTGCAACCCAATGGAACTCATTGCCCTTAGTGTCATCTGTCATGGAAAGCCTTGCTTCAGACATGTCCACCAGGAGACATGAAATTTGAGCATCCTATTGCCAACTATATAAACTCAGGAAAAATGTATGAAGTGTCAAAACACAAGTGTGTGCCAACTTTCTTAATACTGTTGACACCTTTTGTTTTTTCTTGTTCTTCTTGACTGGAAGTCTGGGGAAATACTCTAACGACAGGTCTTAAGGTCTATACTGAACCCAGTTAGGGATTGATATACTGGCTCACATGAGCTTTGCAGCAGAAGTGAAGTGATTTGGCTCAGTGTTCAGTAGAATCTACACTGTTGCTGGTACTGTTTTAATACCATGCTAACTGTAGATCTTCGTTAATTTGTCTGTTGCTAGTGCACTTTCCCCTGATGACAGTTTTATTCTGTGCATTGCCTGTGCTTTCACATATGCTTCTAGGCACAAAAAAAAAAAAAAAAAAAAGCTAATAACATTTCGCCTATAAAGATGCTTCTGCCTTTCAAAGCAGGGTGCTTCTGAAAACTTGATCTGTGTGTTAATCCCAGCTCCTCAGAAACTGAGAACTTCATGTCTTTCTGTTTTCAGGGGCTCATTGGTGCTGCAGACCATGTTTTGAGGAGCTTTTAGCTATTTGGGAAGAACCTATATTGTAAAGTGTAATTCTGTTCTTGCAGTGTAGAAAGGATATTTTTAAAAATTATTCAAACTTGTGTGGACAGATCATCACAAAATGCTCATCTATGCAGTGACTATGCATAGAATTGTTTCTTCTAAGTTTAATTATGGTATCACATGACAAGGAACATTTTATGGCTGAAAATGTAAACATTCTTGAGAGAAACTTGCTGTTCTCACTTGACACAGAACTAATAAGTCATCCAAGATTGTTGTGTTGATATTTGTAACATTTTTTCCTTAAGGACCAAAATAATGAGGAGAAGCACGCAGATGGACTTATAGTAAGTTTAAATCTAATCTTTATCTCCCTTTATTTCTGCAGAACATGTGAACAGAGACCTGAATTTCCACTCATTTTGCAACATACTTCTTTCTTTCTCTGATTTACTGCTTCAAGTGTCTTGTTAAAATTACTGTTGAGTCATTAGCTTCTGATGTTGGCTAACACCCTTGCTTTTAGAAAATCTAGTGATCAGTTTTTTATCCTGAGTGTCTTAAATGGCTGTGTTGTGACTGAACACTTAGATAAAAATCTGCCATGTGAACAGATGAAAGGGAAATTACTGGAATAGAAGTAGTTTTGTGTTCCATCCAAGGTATCTGTATGTATAATCAGCTATCCCTGTGCTTTAAGTAGTTTGTCTTTTCTACAGTGCTGCTCATTTAATGCAAAGTTGTATTATGTCTATTTAAGCAATGTTGCTTCTTTAATATAACTTCTGCATTTTTAATGTAACTTCTGTCATCTTTGGTTTCGGTCCCATGTGACTTCTCTTTCTTTGTTCTCTTTTTGTCACTTGAGTACATTTCAGATACTTTTAATAGGAGGTTGGTTTCGGTAAAATGTAACTCTAAAAATCATAGTGTGTTTTCATAACTGCTGACAATAGTTCCCAAGCTCTATTTGTCTTTCCATTATATACAGCTTTAGCAGTATGATTTTCTGGTAATAACTTCAGAGTAAAGATGCACGTACAGATTTTAATTTCATCCTTTTCATAAATGAGGTGAAGGATTACCCTGTGGATAGTCACATAACTCAGGCCTTAGTTCTGTTACATGCCCTGGAGAAGGGAGGTTGTGCAGCTGGGCACTGCCACAGCCAGAGGTGGTGAGCACATCAGATCTGCAACTCAGAAACTGTGTATAGCTACTACAGCTTGCTGTAGTCTGAATTTGGTTAGCCACTGTTCTAATTATCTGTGGGCTGGCTTATTCTGGGGAGAAAAAAAAAGCATTTCTATACCAGTATATTAACTGATGCATCAGTGATTGTGAAGACTGAAATTTTGATGCTATTGAGGCCAACATTAGCTTGGGCTAAAGGTCAGGATTTAACTTTAAACTTAGGCAGGAGTATGATCAATGTTTGATACCATGGTGTGATGACAGTCTCCTTGTTTCTGTGTGGTTGGTTTTAAGTTGTTATTAGACTCAGACTAGGAAACTTTGATGTCTGCCTTCATCTGTTTCTACACCATGATGGCATACCCCAAAATACCAAACAAGCAACCCCAGTTCATGTTGCAGGGTGGAGATTTGTTTAAGGGTAAGGTTACAATCCCGCCTACAAACCCAGAGTTACTTTGTTGTTTGGCTTTTTTTTCCCCTTTATCACACCAGTGTTCTGTAGCATGTATATGATTAGTTTCCCTAAAAACTAGGGGAGACAGAGATAGCAATAGCATCCTCTGTATCCTAGGACCATCTTGATTTTCAGGTTTCTTAACTCTGAAAGTGGGTTCATGATTTTTAAAGTGTGGGACACAAACAGTTGAAGTAATTTGTAAGGGACATTGATTTTATGCTGGAATACAGTAGAGTAACAGTATATGTACTGGATTATTTATTTGTATACTAGTTAGTAACACCCGTGAAAATGTAGAAAGCCATTTTTATGCCTTTTTAAACTGGAAATTTAAAAAAGATAAATGGGGTACAATTGTTTTCAAATAAATTCTGTGCTATAAAAAAAATAAAAATCTTCACTATTTCACTGATTCTTTTTTTTTTTTTAATGCAGGATAAAATTCAGAATTACAGTTAACTAAGAAAGGAGGCAAAGAAATCTTACTCCTGTAGGAAAATGGGAAGAGGAGGGTTAAGAGGATCCTCCTTACCTCAGTCTGCTTGCAAATAGAAATCACAGACTGGAAGGAGGGAAGAACAGTTGGAGTCTGTCTTCTGTTTTAAATATTAATATAAAATGAAGATAGGAAGAAACATGCTGACTAAATTTAAAGGCAAAGCTCATCTACCTTTTTTAAAAGCAGAACTTACTTTAAAGTAGAACTCATCTTTGTATGACCTTCCTCTGCTGTGTATTCTTCAACTTAAGCACAGTAGCAAGATTTCCTAGAAAACTGAGGCAAAGTTTTTCATAGTTCTGATGCAGATAAATGGTTTTAAATCGCAAGATATTTGGAAAAGTATTTTATGTGCCTTCTGTCTAAATGGCAACCCAGACTAACGCAGAAGTTCTGGTAGTTGTGTGTAGGTACATATAACCAACAGCGCTTAGTTGATAACAAAAATTACAGGCCCATGAAGCCAAGCAAAATCACACTAGTTTTGATTAAAAGATATTGCAACTGAGATTTCCAAGAGGCTTGTTGTATAAAAGCCAAGAACATACACTGAAGTCAGTGACTTTTGTGAGTGTTCAGGTGAATTGCTGCTTCCTTTTTAAATAGCCTATGTTCATAAGTAGATTGAAATGTCCTTCACTGGAGAAGCTCATTGGAAGGAGTTCGGGCAACAAAGCCACTTCATGGCTGTAAGCATGCTGGTGATTCCTCTTCCAATCTATGAGTTGATTTAGTATGGTCTGGAGAAATTAATTTTTGGAAAAAAAAAAAGTTTTTAAAAATACAGGTTACTTGCCCTAATTTTTGCCAGATAATTTGCGTTTAACTTGGCACACTTTGGATGCAGTATTTATGAATGGGCATTGGAAGGAATGACAGAAGCTAGAACTTGCTAGAAGAAGTTTTTATAGGACAATTCAAATCTGTAGCAAGTTCACTTTAGTGTAAAATCTGTGTAAAGAATTAAAGTATTGCCACTTTGAAAGTATTTCTTATGTCCTCAACTGTCAATTTGTGTTTTACTTCCTCTCTCAGGAATCTGCTATCTTGCCTTTGGGCATTTCTTGTGCTCACGGTGTTCCTGCTATTTACGCTTTAATTATTTTAATGGAGAAAAAATGTGTTTTTCTTTCTTTTGTCTCAGAGCACTATAAACCCGGTTGACGCTGTCTATCAGCCCAGTCCTTTGGAGCAGTCAGTGACCAGCACGATGCCTTCCCAAGGAGTTATACCTCCAGGTAGGTGCTACAGAAAGAACCTCAGTAGAAGCATCCATGATGCAACCGCAATCTAGATGGAAGGGGCACATATCTTGGGTAGCTTCTGTGTCACATGTGTGGTCCAGGTGGATGCTGCAGGGAGGGGAGGGAAAGGAGCAGGAGGCGTCGAGCTTCCTCAGCCTCCTGGTAAATCTGCCTTGAGTTCTGTGCATAACCTGATAGATGTTACTTGCTGTAAGTTACTAGCTTACATTTCTAATACACTTTCTTAAAATAAATGAAATTGGAATTTATGTTGGAATCTCCTTCCCAACAAAAGTATAATTTTTATATTTAAATGAAAATTTTGGGGTTTACATATCAAAATATCCCCTAGAACCTGCTCAGTTGTGCAAGTCAGAGCAGCGACCGTCGTCTTTGCCAGTGGGACCTGTGGTGGCGTCGCTTGGAAATCAGACTCCGACACCAAATAGCACAGGTACAGTTCTGAGGAACTGCAGCAGGGGAACAGCCCCAACGCAGCCTGTCCTAACGGGACCTAACACAGTGAGCTATCATAAACAACATCCTACGGGCCTAAATCTTCCTTCTAACCAACAGATACTTCAGTTTTGTGCTAAAATCAGTTATTCTGTTCTTTCTCCCCCCATGTCTATGTAATACACAGGAGTATCACCAGATTGCTTTCTCGTCTCCCTCACTGCAACCTTGCAGTAATTAACGCGGGACCTTTGCAGTTAATACATTGCGTGTGGCCTTTGGGGCTATTAATTCAATTGCCCCATTTCCCCTTAATAGCATTTTTAAAACTACAATAGATGTTTTGAGGCAAAAGTTGCTCTAATGTATATGAAATTGCTATAATTATCTGTTTACAATTCCTATAATAATCTTGCTTGTTGTTATTAAGTCTGTAATTTTTTTTATGCTTTGTAGGAAGTGGGCAATCAGCACCTAGCAGCAGTCTCACCTCTCCAAGCCATGTCAACCTGTCTCCAAATACAGTCCCAGACTTTTCTTACTCCAGCAGTGAGGACGAGTTCTATGATGCTGATGAGTTCTACCAGAGCAGTTCTTCCCCAAAGCGATGTATGGAGTAAGTAGCTGAGGCTTGCAGTGTGTGCTGCGTACAACTTTCATCTACAAGGGCATAGCATGTCTACTTGTACAAGTTAGTTAAGTTCAGTAAGTGAACAAGCCACATTGGCTTAAAATATGAAACAGCAGGGGAGACAAAAAAAGCCACTCTGTGTAACAGGAGAGAAGGTTACTGTTGTCTGAGGGGTATGTGGCTTCCTCCTTCACTCCTTCCCATTCCATCAGCTATACATGTTGAGAAAACTAAGAGAAACAAATCTTGGGAAGCCAGCAGGTCAAAGATCTAGTTGCAGACCATGGAGTATTTCACAAGCATTTGTTGCAGCCTTTAATAAATAGCCAATTCCCTCCCACATTTACTGAAATAAATGTTTGAAGTCGGCCACCTTTCCCCAAAATCTCTATTTAATCTTCTTTGTTACCGATCGGAAAATTAATTTTAAGAGATGCTACACATTTCAAAGAGGAATTAGTCACCAGTTCCACACCTTCAGGTGTTACTAGCTTAGCCTGCAGGCTTTCCCATATATTCAGCTACAGTCCATTTTAAGTTTGGTGTGGATTAGCCTGCAGCACATGTCTGTTAATAAACTAATTTTGTCTGAATTACTTCACTGTGGGTTGTGAGAGATTATTCTTCTTTAGTTCTGCAGAGTCTGCTGCAGTCCTGACTCGGAGCAGCACAGGAAGCAGCCTGAAACGTCCTGACACCACAGAGTCCCTCAACTCTTCCATATCTAACGGGACAAACGATGCTGGTAAGTGGACCACGTTGAGTGAGGTGCTCTTGGCTGTTAATCCGTGTGTAAACTGTGTTCACTGCATGTATGTACACATACATATGTCAGGGTACTTGTAGCAAACGATTTATCTACTGTTTCTTTACTAATGGAAGATTGTTGAATTGCAGAACTTAAAAAAACTGGTTTTATAAATAAGACCTCTTTGACAGCTAATGTATATGCTAATTAAATACAACCTGTCTTTGAAGGTTTAGAGAAAAACAAAAGCAATTTGATTTTTCTAGATCTCTTTGATCCTCCTGATGATCGAGATGATGATGGGGAAGGAGAATCAGTGGAAGAACATAAAAGTGTTATTATGCATCTGTTGTCACAAGTTAGATTAGGAATGGATCTAACTAAGGTAAACTTGCTGATTTTTCATGGGGAAGGGAGGGAGATTAAACGCTGAATTCTGTGTAAATTAATTCAGTGATAAAGAATTTAACTGTGTATTAGTTCTAAGAACTAGTTAAGCTATAAACTCTTCAGCGTGGTCTTTTTTTTAATTGGAGTTGTTATAGAGAGGAGAGAAATAAATGTGCAATAAGTATGTCCAACTGCTAAGATCAGTTTGGGAAAATAGATTGCTCTGGAAAGTACCTGTTTATTCTCCTTGAACCCAATCCTTGGAGCGCCTTTAAACTGAGTTAAGAGGAATGCTTCCTGCAGTAGTTAAGTTTCTCCTGCCTTTGGCATCCTAGAACAAAGATCCACGAGATCCTAGTGTATGGTGACATTCAATAAGACGTTAATAACATAAAAGAAGGAATTAAGCATATAGTGAAATGCTTTGCTGAACTGGGATCTCGTTGAGTAAGTTGCTGGTGTATTTTAAAGTGCTATGTGTAGGTCTTGCAAGTTGGATTTTTCATGGGTTTGATTCATGTTGGTGTCTGTGTTAATGAACAGCATTCTGAAGGTGTTAATCTTTGTAGGCAGTTTGGTTAAATTTAAACAAGTAATTCCAGATTGAAAACGAGTAGGAGAGATCAACCCTATCATTAGTTTCCCTAATTTGGATGACTTCAGCTGTCCAGTCTGGAACTCACAATAGACAGTAAAAAGATAAACTTTAAACTTCTCTGGAGAAATAGCCGGCAGCTCACAAGCGAACTACTGAAGGTTTCTGGCAGTTCCCAAACTGGGATTGATCCAAACCATGTCTGTTTTGGAAACTTCTGGAGTAGCTGAAAATTACTGATCCCAAGCTGCCAGAAGCGCCAGGAGCATGCCTGTTGTCTGCATCACTTTCAAGTCAACAACAGCAACCCACGCCGCTCTCAGCAGTGGTCACCACAGCAGGCAGCAGATCCACAAGGGTGGAACCTGCAAATGCTGTCGGGGAAGAAAAGTTGTAGGGAAGAGATGAACCTTCACCTTGATAAAAGGCATATGAGAGGTTGTGACTACACAGAATCATAGAATCCTTTAGGTTGGAAGGGACCTTTAAGATCATCAAGTCCAACCATTGAGCCATTAGGGCTCTAAAGTCCTCTGCTAAAACAGATCAGAATCTTTCAGGGTTGGAAAGGACCACAACGATCCCCCAGTTCCAACCCCTCTGCCATGAGCAGGGACCCCTCCCACTAGATCAGGCTGCCCAGAGCCTCATCCAGCCTGGCCTTAAAGACCCCCAGGGATGGAGCCTCAACCACCACCCTGGGCAACCCCTTCCAGGGTCTTACCACTCTCATGGTGAAGAACTTCTTCCTCATGTCCAGCCTGAATCTGCCCACTTCCAGCTTTGCCCCATTCCCCCTAGTCCTGTCATTACTCGATATCCTAAAATGGAATGAGATTTTGGCAATAACTGGGAATTGACACAAGGATCCAGACAGATGAAATTAAATTATCAGTGTTGCTGTAATTAAGAACAGCTTTTGATAAGCTCAGCATGTAGTTGAATATGCTCTAAGTGGGACTAGAATATATGTGAGATGAGACAGTTCCTCTCAAACCTTTGCTTTTATAGAAGATGCCAACTGACCTGTATGTGTCAGAACTCATTGGCAGGTTTGAGACCACAATCATCTTACAGGCACGCGAGCCTTGGGTGCTTTGGGTGCTATTTACAGTAGAATGCTTCTGTGTAGGAAAGTGTCTTGATCTTTAACAGTTGTTTTCCTTCACCCAGGTGGTTCTTCCAACTTTCATCCTGGAACGAAGATCCCTGTTGGAAATGTATGCTGACTTCTTTGCACATCCAGACTTATTTGTCAGGTATTTAATTTTTAAAGCAGAGTATTAACTGGTTCTGATATTATTTATTGTCTTTGCAGGCTGCCAAAGGTCAGTTGGTAGTTTTGAAGAGTATTGCTTGTGCTTTGATCTAAACTTGAAAAATAGTCCAAGTAGCGAAGTTGTAAACCAAGCAAACATCCAAAAGTCTCTTCTGTGTTTGAAGCATTTCCTTGTATTTCGTTTTTGCCTGACATCCTTTTCTCTGTTTTGGCCCTTGTAGCATTAGTGACCAGAAGGATCCAAAGGAACGAATGGTTCAAGTGGTTAAATGGTACCTCTCAGCTTTTCATGCGGGAAGAAAAGGGTCGGTTGCTAAAAAGCCTTACAATCCCATTTTGGGTGAGATCTTCCGATGTCATTGGGTATTGCCAGGCACTGAAGGTGAAGATGAGATGGTTAGTTTCTTGTGGTATGTTTTGTGGTGCCTGGAATGTATGCGAGTAATCCCCAAAGCTTTAGTCATTTACTGACTGAAACAAAATGGCTTGTACTATGTTTTAAACAGCAAACCAAACAAACTGGCAGTTTCTTAACTCATTTCCCCTCTTTCTTCCTCTTTTTCTTTGGACAGAAGTCTAAAATATCTTGCATAATAAAATTGAGTAAAAAAACAAACAAACAAACAAAAACAAAAAACCACCAACAACTATTTTTTAAAGAAAAATTTGCTTCTCACACCCTCCCCTCCCTCTTTGGTTTGCTCAATTCTTTGTCATTTCTGAGGTGAATGTTTGGAATCCTGTTTGCTGGCATAAAGACAATATTGTGTTTGTGCTTGTGTTGCTTCTAATGATGACTTGCCCTCTTTGTGATTTGCCACAGGAAATTAATGTTGGGTTATGGTTTTGATGATTGTTATTTATATGCATATCTGACTTTTAGTGGAACCAAAAATGAAAGCTCTTTCTGGCACCCATTTCTTATTAGTTAATAGGAAATTAAGCAGATTTAATAATTACTTTGTAATTTGGTTTATACATGACTCTTTCAGTCAAACTTGTATTTGGGGGCATTTCCCTAAATAAACTTAAAAGCAAGATTAGAAGCTCTGTGTTCTTTATTAAACAGTGTGGGGAGTAAGGAGTTCAAATTAGCAGACAAATGAAATCACTGCAATGCGTTTTCAGAAGCCTTTAAACACAGAAGCGACTTCTCTTGGAAGCATCCAGAGTTTTGTAAACACTGTCAGTGACGAAAATCCTCTCTCCTGTCTTGCAGGAGCCAGTTTCAGAAGGACCAGTTCCTTGGGTCAGTAAAAGCAATGTGACATTTGTGGCGGAGCAGGTCTCTCATCATCCTCCAAGTAAGCTGGCAGCAACTTTGCTACTACAGCTGGCACCTACCTGGATACAAGCGACAGAAAAATTGGTTCTTGGTTGAAATCTTGGATTTCCATTTTGTCTCTAAATTGAAAAGCTGAAAGTTTCCTTTATAAACTGTTTTTGTGAGAAACAAATTGCGAACTTTGTTGCCACAGAAGTATGAGGCATTTTGAGATGACTTCCTGATGAAAGAATTTGGAAATGAGAGTATTAATGTCTTGTGCTGCTATTTTTAATAACCTTTTTCTTCAGTTTCAGCATTTTATGCAGAGTGTTTTAGCAAGAGGATACAGTTCAATGCTCACATATGGACCAAGTCAAAATTCTTGGGAATGTCTATTGGGGTTCATAACATAGGGCAAGGTAAGTGAGTGTCAATTTAACAAGAAAAGATAAATTCCCATTCTGCACTAGAATTTTTGCAGGAATTATTTAAAGTCATCTTGTTAAACATAAAGAATGTTTGATTTTATGTAATTGGAACTTGGGTATCTAAGGAATAGTATATTCCTCCTGCACACTGTCTTCTGAAATTATTTAGGGGCCAATTTTTCATGTAAATGCAGCTCTCTGTGCCTTTTCTAGACACTGGGCATTCTCAGCATCTGGAGAAAGCTCTTCACCTTTCCTTCTTACGGCACCTCTTCTTAGTGAACTATTCCAGGAGATGATTATGAAAAGCTTTGTAGAGGTTTTGCTGAAGTTTTTAAAACCTTTTCTTAAATTTTTCTTTTGATAGGGTGTGTCACATGCCTAGATTATGATGAACACTATATCTTGACCTTTCCTAATGGTTATGGAAGGCAAGTAAAAGCTCAACTTGATATTTTCATTTTCAGTGCCTTGTCATATTTCATGCTTAGTATTCATCAGTTACAGGATTATAAATACACACATCTATAATTGCAGGTCTATTCTCACTGTGCCCTGGATAGAACTGGGTGGAGAATGCAGTATTAACTGCTCGAAGACAGGCTATAACGCTTCCATCGTCTTCCACACAAAACCATTTTATGGGGGAAAGAAGCACAGAATTACAGCTGAAATTTTGTAAGTGGGTTTCTTCAGTTAATCTCTTTTTCTCTACTGAAATGCTGACAGTGATTTTTCAAGACAGTCAGGAGTGTAAAGTACTGTAGGAGCTACACCAGATAACTCGGGTTGGGATTGCCTGTCACAGGATGCCATTTTAATAGGCAGGACTTGTGAGAGGAGGCCTGCACCCTACCTTGACCTTCTCCAAAACACACTCTGCTGTTGACTGAAAGGAATCTTAATTTTCACTCCCGACTCACCCAAGCAGAAAATTCAGTGGAGATTCTAATTTTGCTTGGAAATATACTGTAAAGTCAGGAAGTGACACTGACAAAACAAGGTCTGTAAGTTGGTTTTAAGTCTCTTCATGACACACATTGATAAGTCTGATTTGAGAACTACTGTTTGTGTTCAACAAACACTAGCAGTCTGAGGAAGAAGCTTTGTTTGTGAAACCTTTTTAAGTTTAACTTAGCACTGTGAATCTGGTTTGAAAGCTTGTAATACAACTGCAAAATTACTTTCTTTCTGTTTAGTTCTCCTAATGACAAGAAACCCTTCTGCTCAATTGAGGGAGAATGGAATGGCGTCATGTATGCGAAATACACAACAGGGGTAAAGCAGCTTTTTTTGTTTTCATCAGAAACGGGAGATTGTACTTAAAGTGTGTGGGGGGGGGTTTCTTGTTTTTTATTTTTTAAAATCAATAGTTGGGAACTCCTGTGAAGCTGCCCCCAAAGATGATGAGAATGATGAATTCAGGGTAAAAGTTCTGAATTTATTCTTAAGGTGACCTGACTTTTATAGCAAGAACAGAATTTAAAGACTGATATTATATTTCCTGACAAACAGTGTACCGGAGTGTGAGGCTATGTCAATTTTTAAAACTGGCTAAAGAATTTATTTCTTTTTTTCTTTGTAACTTCACTTTCTAGGAGAATACCATTTTTATAGATACCAAGAAAATGCCTACAATTAAGAAGAAGGTAAGGAAATTGGAGGACCAAGACGACTTTGAGTCTCGCTGGTAAGGACTTTAGTTAAATGGGCTAATGAGGAGGGTTGGGTTTTTTCTTTAGTTAGACTCAAGTTCGCAGTAGACAGGCTGGCTCGTGGCACACTTCATCCAGTCACTGCGTGGACACCTGGGTCCTCTGCTTGAGCCTTTCCTGCAGGTCAGAGCCAAGGCACCAGCAGGTTGAGGTTTTAAGAGGGACGAGACCTGTAATTCCTGGTCACATCCTCATGGGGTGCAGATGTTCCAGGGAGGTCTGGAGGGCTTCACTGCAGCCTTCCCACTCCTGGCAACAGACAGTGCACTTGTGGTTTAATACAAATTGGGTTTTTTTCTGCCCTTTTGGTAAAATGAGACCTGCCTTAAGTAACTATTGAGGACTAATAGCCGGCAATATGTTTCTACAGCCTTGTAGCACTTGGCTTCTCTAACGCAGCCTCCATTCAAATTTCTTTTTTAAGCCTATGGAAGGATGTAACCTACAACTTGAAAATTAGAGACATCGACGCAGCCACAGCTGCAAAGCACGCGCTTGAAGAACGACAAAGAGCTGAGGCCAGAGCCAGAAAAGAGAATGAGACCTCATGGGAAACAAGGGTGAGCTTTATTCAAACTGTAAATAAATGCCCTCGAACCTGTAGCATTTGTTCCTTTCCCACTGAGTCGTATAAAGCTTACATCTGCTTCTCCCCTTTGTCCTAGTTATTCCATGAAGATGGAGAGTGCTGGGTTTACGACGAGCCGCTATTGAAACGACTTGCTGCCAGTAAACATTAAGTGGGCTATAAAACCAGAAGACATTCAAGCCTTGGCTTAAGCAAAGTTTACATCTGATACCAAGACGACAGTTACCAGTGATCACGTACGTACCATTTGGAGAACCTGACCCCTCCAACTGCAGTGGTTCCTATCTCAGGGATACTGGACTTACTGATGCAGATAAGCAATGACATGAAACAAGAAACTGGGCTGTGCAGTAACTTCTGCTGGGCTGCGCTATGCTGGTAGTGTGTTCAGGCTTCAAAGGCGGGCTCGTGGAGCCCCGTCACTGGCGCTCTGAAGCGTGGAGATCCCGGGCCGTATACACTTTGTACAACCACTGTGAAGGCCACGGCATTGGTATCAGTCACATAATATTCCTGGGTCCTACGTATTTAGAAAACCAAGGAACAAAACACAAGACGTCATTTAAATCTAGCTAACATTTGCAATGTGTAAATAGGAGGATTCCTTTGATGGGACAGTTTGGTAGAAACGCTACATAAATGTTATCTTCCACATGTATGATAATCAAATCTTTTGGCATTTCAGTGTCTTGCCCAAAATAACTTTGTTATTTTGAGATTAAAATGTAACCGTAGATAATTCTACTTGATGCATCTTAAAGCTTCATAAAATAGATTTTTCAAACTTCTCTTATGGACTTTTTATTTATTTCATAATAAACCTTTGCAGCAAGACTTTTTTCAGCTGAGTGATGATCAATTGTTTTATGTGAAATGTAGTAGCATTAATTTTTCCCTACTTCAGTCCTTGCAGCTAAACCTACTTCTTAAAGTAGTTAATGACTAGCAAAAGGAGAGCAGAATCTGCAGCAACCACAGCAGATCTTTTTTTTTCTGGAATCTACATCCAGCCTTGCTTCAGAAGTGAATTCACCAGCACTTCAGGGATCTTCGCACTTCTGTGCTGTTGTTTGAAGTTAAATAGTAGTCAAGTATGTAGCTATGTGTAGCAGTCAAACTATTTTTCTTCCCTCAGTTAAATCTAGCTTTTATTTGATTTCATCTCACTTTTCTCTATGTTGCACATACAGAAAAACTATAAAAAGCAGTGTGAGATTTGAAGCCTCAGGGATTTTTTTCCCCTCCCGCCCACTGTGTAACTCCTTTGGGAGAGCTGTGGAGCATTTTCTTGGAGGTGCTGGAGCTGCTTCTAAGCGACTGCTACAGGACTGCAGGAATGATGCCCAGGCCAGTGTGAACAAAAAGGCGCCAGAGAGGAGAAGGAGGCAGCTGGAAGTGAGGGCTGTGCCTCTTCTTAATGGACTCAGGAGATGAATGAGAAGAGCTGGCTGAGGAAAGCTTCCTCAGGACCTTGCTCCAGCTAACACTACAGCCCTGCCTGAACACGAGCAGGTCTGTAAGGTTCACGTAGCAGAAAGCACCTGTGTTTGTTACACACCATGGCGGGGCCAGGCATCATCTTTATTTCAATATTTTATGGTAAGGGAGAACATTCAGAGTTGATGTGTAAACTTTGATGTCCTTGATGGAAGTAACTTCAGTCATCAGAGAAGATGGGGGCAAGAAAATAAGATGAGGTATTTCACCAGATGAAGAATTCTGTACTTCTGAGACAGCTGTAACCTCTGAGTCCCCTTCATGTTTTCCATATCCAACCACCTGGAAAAAAATTACCAGAAAGCTCTAAGCTCCTGTAGCTTGGATCTTATGCAATGTTCATCTGCCCTGACCAGTAAATACAACTACTCAAACAATAGTAATAATTAGAGAGGTAGACCATGTGAACAGTAATGTGGATGGCCACCAAATAAAAACTTGGATCACAGAACTCTTCTTCCACACCCTTACTGGGCTCTTTCAGGATATGCAAGTCTGGCATGACAAAGTTTTGGCTAACACTCACGTGTACACTGAGCACTTTCCTCCTGTTGTTTCTGTGAGCTTGGAACCAGGTGACCAGGTCTGATTTTGTGACAGATTTCAGAGCTTCAATCTGAAACCCACAGGAATGAGGTTTAAGTAACACAGTGGTGACTCAAGTCATTTTAAACATTACGATGGTTTCTCTACAAACTGCATCCCATTAGATGAAAGAACCTTTTTCCAACAGCATGTAGTTTTAGAGGAAGTGTTTCACTCATGGCTAAATCCCCTTAGTTATGCTTTGCATTGAAAACTGCTCTAAAAATTGACATGCAAGTGTTAACAACAAGGAGGAACCACCAACCTCTCGGGCAAGCCTGTCAAAGAGATACTGCTGTGTCATAACTTCATTCCAGTTCCTGTCTACTTCTTCTCCAAGGTGGGAGTCTTCACATTCTTTGAGTTTTATCAAAGCTGTTACCTACGTTTGAAAAAGACAAAACAATTAGTCTGAAAGAGTTTAAAACTGCCTTGAAAAAAGGTCACTGAAAATTCACGCAAATTACATTAACAAGGTAGTTCATGGCTTGCAAAGCTAACTAGAAGAGAGAAAAATTTTAGCAAGTAACTGCACAGCAGAGTTAAAAGGTAGGATTTCAATGCAAGTCTTTTGTCCAGAAAAAAAAATACCGCTCAGAAATATGCCAGGTAAGTGTAAGCAAATCCTCTCATTTACGTGTCATTTAGCAGTTCAAGGAAGGTCTATTTCAAGGTGAAGTTCTACCTGGGTGCTAAAAGCTTCTTCAGTTAAATGCTTGATTTTCTCTTCAAAGCAAGAAAGAAATTCCTCTATTTTCTTGTCAACCAATTCAGAACTAAAAGAGAGTGAAACAATTTAATCAGGCAGGAAAAAGAAAAAAAAACAATACTGTGAGATAAAGTAGAATGGCCCTCAAATTAATATTTGGGACGAGCTTCCTGAACACCAGCCTTCCCATCTGGAGAATAAACCCAGCACTGTTGTTTTTAGCCGCATTAAGTGTTGTTCAGACAGAGGGGCTGTAGCTAACGAAGCAGCAAGTGGAGCTGCTGTCCAGGACCTGCTGCTGTCTGAGCCCAGCCCTGACACAGCTCCGGGCCGTTGGACTAACACTGTGATGTGACAGATAATGAGGTTCCTGAAACAGTAAAACCTTCCCAGATGACAGAGAACTCAGTAATGGAAGTGTCATTGAAACATAAACTCAAGGCAGCAGCACTTTGTGCTGGTTAAACTTTTACTGGCAGACTATTATTTTTCACGTACTTTTCATAAAAGCTTTCAACTTTGGCAGGTCAAGCACCTGTAGTTAGCCCCAGCTTTGAACAAAACCATAACACTGTTCTGTCTGCTGCAAGTGAGGCAGGAGAACAGCTCTACAGGACTGACTTGGCAACAGGTTGAGCTTGCCCAGCAGAGGATCTTCCAGAGGGCAGCGGGACGTTTCACTTAGCCTTTGGATTACTTGTCCCTGTTCCAGTCGGGCCTGCTGCAGCGTTAAGAAGCTTAAGGCTATTGCTTTATTTAGGAGTTGTTTTTCAGTCTCTATGTTGCAACATCACAGGCTGAGGCCAGGATGACTCTTGTGACATTCCCTTTAGGCTCAGAGAATGAAAAAACCTCTCTATGGCCCAAAACACATGTGAACTCTTAAATGAGAACAGGAACATAAAAAAAGTTCAAGCAAAAGCAAACAAATCAGCTGCAACCTGATCAAAGAGAACAAACAGAAGACTAAATGAAACTCCCAGTAATAATTCTTCAGCTGGCTATTGTGTAAATATACCACTTACACAAAAGGCAATATGCACATATGGTCACATGATACCTTACTACATGCCACAAGGCTCAGATGTTTGGTGCCTGAATGCACACGAGGTCCTCTGGCCACCTTGTTAAGCCTGACTTGACTGCTCTAAAATCAGTTGCTGGCTGCTCACAGCCAGACTGTGCACAGCAAGATACAGCAAGGAGCAACCAGCTGATGCCTCAAGGCCCAAGATGGCAGAGACACGGGGCAACTCCTCTGGGCTCTGCAGCAGCCAGGCCCTGCTGCCAGAGCCTCTGCCAGCAGGGCGTGGTGAAGGAAGGTCACCAGAAATGGCCTGGGAGCAGTGAAGAACCTCAGCCAAGCACAGAGGAGCACTTACTTATATTTAGTGGCCTGGGTTGCTACGGTGACTGAGAAGCCAAGAATCCCAGAAGTATTCCTGCAGGTAGGGTACACGTTGTAGCTTAAAAAAAAAAAGATAAAACAGGGGAGGTTACACAAACAACAAAGTCACTCCACAAGCACAGTTAAATTTTCATTTACAGGACATGCTACAACTTAAAACAGAGCTGGTACTTTGGAAAGAAAAATGGCACATAGGAATTCTCAGAAATCAGTCCCTGCATCACTGCGCTTGAGTTTTCTCATTTTTAGGAAATCCTTTTAAGCTTGGCAGAGTATCAGTGTTTGCTTTCCTGCACACTAATTAGAACAGAGTGACAGACACAGAGCTGTGAAGAGCCCGTTGCATTTCCCGAGGCAGAGAGAGGGGAGCTGGAGAGAGCCCTGGGAGGGGAGCCGGCGGAACGCAGCCCGGGGAGGGAGCGGAGCGGAAGGAACCCGTGAGGCTGGGCAGTTCCAAGGGCAGGGGCTGGCACCAGAGGCAGCTCTGGCAGAGCTCCAGGGCAGCCTGGGTGCAGCTCGTGCCGACGGCTGCGCTGCGTTTGAGCGCCTGTGGGGCCGCTCCCCTGACAGTAAGGCGGGAGGTGGCCCCGGGCAGGACGGATTCCAGAGTGGAAGCAGGAGGTGAGGGCAGAGGCTGCAACAGCTGCCCTCCCGCCACCCCAGACTCACCCCAGGGTCTGCTTGGTTCTCAGGAAGTCGAAGCACGGCTCTTCCATGTGCATCTGAAACGAGGCAGGGCGGGTTACAGCTACAGCAGCGGCGATGCGTGGAAAGGGCTGGAGCGCTGCCCTTGCCAACTGCACCCACTCGATTCACAGGGCTCTGTCCCGGAGGCCTTCTGGGTCAGTAGCCAAGAGCCCAGCCTTCCATGCTGTCCCACCCTGCAGCAGCTGGGGGATTCCCTCCCAAACACTCCCAAGTTTAATGAGTCCCCTACTGTCCCCTTTGTACCACTTACTCCTACAGCTGTATCTTACCCAAGCACTGTTTTCAATGAAGACTAACTTACCACAAGCAGCTCCATGAGGGTATATTCCCTTAGGTTCCTGGCACCTGACTAGAAAGAAAGAAAATTAAGAATTTAGGGTGATTTCATGGAGGTTAAATGCTACAGTTCAGGCCAAGGTGACAGCTGTGACA